TCTTGTCATCGAGATAGAACCGTATAAATTTACTGGACAGAAGAGGGCCATCGTATCTTTTACAGACCCATTTATGTGCTTTCGCTTGCTGCCCTCTCCCTTAACCCTGAAAATTATTAATAATAATACTTGCATTTGATATAGCACCTAAACCAGTGAGATGTCTTAAAGAGCTTCACAGAATATACTGTGAAGTGTATTCACTGTATATTTTGTGGGCACATCATGGCAGCCAATTGCGCACAGTAATGTCCCACAAACATTTGTGGATTGAGTGACCAAATTATTATTTGTTTGAAAGGATTATTACCTCTGGAAAACGATCTACCAATCGAGGAATGTTCAGGCATTGTCCAGGCTGCAATAGTGGAAGAAAGCTCTCTTACATTTATCTTCACAACAAGATGTGAACAAAACCAGTGTGACAAAGCAATGTCTAAGTTCTCGTCCCTTCCCTCCGCACCCCCACCACCCGCAACACAAGTTCATAGGACAATATGTATACTTCTGAATTGAAATGCTCATTCAAGTTCATAACCTTGAGGGTGAAACTATGGTGCCCAACTTTGAAGACCTTCTTCTTAGCCCGCACCTGCAGTCATCCTCCTATCCACCCCTCCTGATCCCATACCCCAGCTTTGGTGTAAATCCTTGACTGCCCAACGCCTTGGGATGTCCTCCCGATGTGAAAAGCGCTATACAAATGTAAGTTGTTGTTAGTGTTGTTGGAATGATTAATAAAGAGCAATTAGAGGCATACCTCTTCCGACAATTTCTATAAACATAATATTGTACTTAAAATTATTAAATTGAGTCTTACTTTAGAAGAGAGTTTCTTTTAAGAACAGTGGAAAAACTGCTTCCAAATTAAGATTGGATTTAAGAATTTTACTTCACAAAATTAGTTTGGATGAAGAAGGCCCTTCGGCTGATCGGATCTCATCCTTCCAGAAAATCCACCCTTCAGTCCTCCCATCCCAGCATCAAGCTGTTTTTCAAATGAGTCCCATTGTCTTGGTCTCATCCATCCTCTGGGCAACCTGTTTGAGTCATTAACTACCCTCTGGATTCAGAAAAAACTTGTGTTGTCTGTCCTGAACTTGTCCTTTGCTGCTCTAAATCCGTGTCCTCTTAAAACTGACTCTTTGAGAAAACATTGGTGAGATGAGATGTACAACATTTTAAAATACAATTCAACTCATCTATGTTCTGTGATATTACATTATGGATAGAGCATGTTTATTATAGATGTGTGATTTGCTGTGACACATTCTCCCTACATAAATGGTGCTGTATCCGTGTAAATTGTTATGGTTGATGGGTGGCAAACACACATTCCAGAGTGTCATATTGTGTGTTAAAATATAATTTTAAGTGTGTTAATTGTATTGCCAAGATTCAACATCAAGTATTATGAATTTAATTATTGTAACATTTATTTCACATCAGTCATCAGCTGATAGATTCTCAAAAAATGTTTCATATTAATAATTTCTTCTGCGCATGTGTAAGTTATGTTCAGAAATCCATTTTAAAGATTAATTCTGTATATCTGATTTAGATTAATTACAAGGCTGATAGATTTGTAGAATTTGCAGAACCATTATAAATATTATCTACATTATATACCCTGGACAGAGGAAGGAAGGAGATGATGGGATAATTAAGTATCTTCTGATAAAGTGTTAATGAAATTTACTGTGCTCTTCAGTTTATCATCCTGTTAATTTCTGGTTGAACGCTGTCTCTTATACCGTGTGTCTATGGCTTTCCTGCCCTCACTGCATATCACAAGGTTGGTTTGGATGAAGAAGGCCCTTTGGCCCATCCGATCTCATTCCTCCAGAACACCCACCCTAGTCTTGATGTGGGGCCTGAATCCACAACCATCTGATTCAGAGGAGAGAGTGCTACCAAACTGAGCCAGGTTGACACCTTAACGAACAAAGGAACGAATGCACTCTTGCACGCACTCACTTACTCTCGCACTCACTCCCGCACTCACTCACTTTCAATCAAGCTCATCATCTACAGGCATGCTCTGAAATCTACCAATGGCACAGTCCGGGACCAAGGTTTCTGTATACAGTTACAGTATAAATTGCTGCAAATGTCAGCGTCTGTTCTTCCTGGGAACTGTGAAAAACACTGAATATCAAGATAACAGGATGCTTAAGAACCAGCAGATTTACGATTTCTACACTAACATCTCCTCTAATCACAAGATCACAAAATGGTTTCAGGTGAGGAAGGTCCCTTTCACGCATATGATCTGTTCCTTTCACATCCCCCCAACCTACTGTTTTCCCATCACTGTGGAGTCCCGTAGCAAAGTGGTTAACGACTCGGGTTCGATTCACAGGCAGGGCAAAACCTTGGGCTAAGTTTCTTTACTCCACACGTCTCTGGTTACTTAGCAGTGAGTAGGAACCTTACTTGTTAGTTGAATGGTGGATCGCTTTCCGGGGATAATAATCCCTCCCCCGAAAATACTTGGTCACTGAATCCACGACTGTTTGTGGGACACTGTTGTATGGACTTGGCTGCCGCGTTTCGCTCACAAAATACAGTCAATTCACTTTACAATATATTCTGTGAAGCGCTTAGATGCGTCTCGATGGTGCGCTAAGGCGCTGTATCAAATGTAAGGATTATTCTAATTATCGAAAGTGTTTGTTAATTGAGTCTAGTGTCCTGGCTTCGACCACCTTTCTTGTTACGCAGTTCAAATCGTTAAATGGCCTCTGGGTTATAAAATCTTTGGCTAACGCTACACAAATAAAAACCTTGGCTTCTGCCGCTAATGGCAGCCGACTGCTGAGATGTGTGTGAAGCAATCTGTGATGACCATTTCCTAAAACATTACACTGAGGGCTCTGAGTGTTGAATTCCAACATATCCTTCCTGTACGGTAATAAACTGATTAACAGTGATACAGTACACATGGAAATGCTGTTGTTCCAACCCAGCCAGATCTAAATATTTCAGAGATTTCAAAGCAGCCCGTCTCCTGTTTAAAAAACAGATACTCATCTATACAGTCCACACACACACAGACAGACGCACACGCACACAAACAGACGAATGCACACACACGCGCACAGACAAACGCACACACACACACAGACACTCACACAGACACGCACACATGCAGACACAGACAGACAAACGCACACACATACACACCCACGCAGACACATTACCAACCACTTACGAAGGATGACAATAACAGCAAAACACAGTAATTCAATTCCACAGACGGGTCAGTCTCACCGGTAAAATGGGTGACGTGCAAAACAATTGATGTCATAGAACTACTTGGGCCGAGGAGAGTGGCGGAGAGGATTTCTCAACTATTGGCTCCAGAGCTCGATAGCGAGTCCCTGCTTTTGGTTGAACCACTTGTTAGCTCCACTGTCTCCACCGGGAGTGGTGACAGGGCTTAAAGAGCCTTGTAAGGGACACACCTGGAGCATGTAAAACCACAGAGCGGGGGAAATGAAAGCTGTTGCTGTTCGAAGCACTTTGGATCAGAGCTGAAGCCGTGTCACACATGCAAAACACATACACGGCTCAGAGTGCTGCACTCGGCTTTGGCTACAGTACTGCCATTCCTGCGCGTGTGTTCCAGTACACACTGTGTACACACTGCCTGTGTACACAGTGTCCTGCAAGGCGCTATATAAATGCAATTTGTTTTTGTTTCCCCCTGTCTTCCCCTCAGTGTACATACTCATTAGGTACAACCCCTTTAAGCGCCCTGAGATGCTACCCTGCATAGGGGGAGCTATATAAATGTAAGTTGTTGTTGTTGGGCACACACTGCCAGTCTACACACTTGTCTGGTTGGTGCCTGAGTTGCCTGCCTCCACCATAGGCATCTATTTATCCGATGACTAAATTCCCCGAAGTTACACGTGGTGGAGATAAAAAAAATATTGTGACAATTGATTGTGGCAAACTCCCGCTTTCCTTCTCTCTTTCCCCCCCCACCCCCACACAAATGGTTACACGCCAGCATTAACTGACTTAACATTTCAATTAACAATTCAGAGAATCTTTTCAAAAATGAGAGAGAGCGAGAGAGGGAGAGAGAGAGAGAGAGAGAGAGAGCACTGCAGCACTTAACGAAAAGCTATTGGTGAAATGAATGTGATTCACTGTTAGCTCACTGGAGCCTCTTGATGCATTATATAACAGTGTTTTATAAAAAACAATCCACTCATTCTAAATAAATTGGTGGAGTTCACGTCAACGTTTCTTTGCTCTTGGCAGAATAAAGGCTCACGTCTGCCTCTAAATCTTCCGGTGATTACCGAGGAATATGAAGTGTACGTCGGTCCTCAAGCCCCAAACTAGCCAAAGTTTGGCCATTCACATCGTTAGCCCAACATCCATCATCCTAACAACCCTCACCAGGATCTCCAACCTCCCAGGTCCCAGTCTCCCAGCTCCCAGTGGATCGACTTCAAGATCCTCACCCTCACCGTTCATGCCCTCACACCTCCATACCGCTCTCTCTCTGCTGATCACCCTTTCCACTGAGCTAACTGGGACCTGCTGCTCACACATACACACATCCTACCCCGCCCTCGGTGTCCCAGCATTCAGCCACTTACGCCCCCACACTCTAGAGCTTCCTCCCTCAAACATCCACCCTCCGCCCACACCTCTCAGTCTATCGTTATAAACCTTGTGAAAGCTTCCACTATTCCTGCGGTCACTTCCCTTCTCAGTATGCAGCGCCATCTCTGTGAAGTGCTCCAAGGTGTTCTTTCGCTAGAAAGGCGTTGTATAAACACACGTTGTTGTACGTCCAAGCAATTCATGTCAACAATGAACCACACTTTACACAGCATCTTTCACATAGGAGAAGGTCTGAATGAGCTTTAGAGAGACAGAGTAGGAGCTGGAGATAAGAGGCTCAGATTTCAATGCCTGCCACCGTGCTGGGAAAGGGAAGAGTGGAACTCAAAACGTGAGCCCGAGAATTTACTCACCTCTTCCACACTGAGGGGCATGCAGATCCTATATTCTTTCAGCAACATAATGGTGCTTCAGGTCCTTGAGGCGAGGGGATTCGAAGTGTTTTGAAGACACTCTGGAGGATTGCTTCTCGAGCCAGTGATGGTTAGCTGAGGTCATGCATCAGTCCCCTTCGGCAGTCACTAACAAACAAGGCCGACCACGCGAAAGCCTCTTGTGGTTAAATGCTGCATCAGCCACCAAAAGTCTCTGTGCGATAAGATCTCTCAAGCCTTTACTCTGCAAAACAAAACACGTGAACCTGTGTCAAGATTAAATTAGATAGATTTTTGTCAGGAAATAATATCGCGGGATACAGTTTGGGGACATGACTTGTGACTGCCAGGATGGTGGAAGGCAAAGTGGATAGATCTTGGTCTTCTTTCACCTAACAAATTCTTAGCTTCTTAAGTGACCAATATCAAAATGGAGAGACAAGTCCCCTGTTGTACTTCGGCACAACTGAACTCCTTGTGTCAGGAATTTGGCCGAGGTGTGTTATACACCAACGGAGGAGCAGTGGGGCGAATGGACAGAGAATGTCACATGGAACCGCCATACAACAACAAAGACGTCCCAGAGAGCGGTAAGATGCCCGGGACGAAAGGAAGTTGTTGCGTGGAGCACTGCAGCCAGCACGCACCAGCTGTGTGTAGCCTCCACACCAAGAACAACAACAAGATTACATTTCTATGGCGCCTTTCACGTCGGAAGGACGTCCCAAGGCCCTGGATCAGTGAAGGGTTTGCACCCGAGCTGAGGATTGGAATCAAGAGGAGTGGAGAGTGGCCAATAAAGTTTCGCCCACAAAATACAGTCAATCCAGTTTACAATATATCCGGTGAAGCACTTTGAGACATTGCCAAGGCACTGTATCAAATGCAAGGATTATTATCAGTAGTAAGTTACTGTGATGAGATGCTCCCAGGACAGTAACTGCAGAGAAAATACTCCCAGTGATAGCTTTGACAACCAAAAGGGTTACACACTTGCAACTCTTAAACTCCAAGTGTGCAATATTAGTGAATGACGGATTCTAAAATACAATATTGATTTTGTGCCACATCAGTAGTCAGGATTCATTAAAACGTTTTTTATATATATACACACACACAGTGTACAGTATGTACAGTATTTCTTAACCCTCTTTTCCATTATTGCCCTTAAGTTTTTTTTAAAAAAAACACTTTAATAAGTGAAAATAACTAAAAATAATAATTTATCGTGCCCAGAAAGAATGCTGGCACTGTAGATATTTCTCACCATCAGAGTTGTTCAGCTGCAGAGACAATAAGGGAAAGTGTAGAGATCTATAGCGTAGAAAGACCTCTATGTCACGCTCCAGCATTCTGATGGAATTTAGGATTTATAAGAATAGGATTTATAAGAATCCTTGAATTTAATATGACGTCATTGAGACTTCTCCGAGCGCTTTATAGGATATATAAATGTAAAGCAGTCTTATTGGGTGTGAAATAGTTACATTTAAATTCATTTAAATAATCTAGTAGTTCATTTAAATAATTCCCCTATTTCCCAGTTTATCACTGTTAATGTTAAAGGTATAAGTGTAATTTAATGGTGTTCAGGCCACAAACCTGGAATCCCAAAGGTTAAAACCGAAATTAACTCTAAACCGAGGCGGTTGAGACAAGCATAGATGGATGGATCATTTTAAATCATGACAACATCATTCCAAGCCTGAATGTGAAGCTGTTACACTCAGTTCCCAGTTCCAAGCATCTCTTCATTCTCCACAAAGATATGTCTCTTCATCAGAAATCCACAGATATCATTCAAATCATTTTAATGAACCTGGCGCCTGTATTTCAATCGCTAACTTGCACAATCATTTTTTTTTAAATGGTCAAAACAGTTTCAACACATCGGTGTGATTATCAGCCACAAAATACAGTCAATATATCGTTACAATATATTCTGTGAAGCGCTTTGAGACATCTCAGCGATGTGATAAGGTACTATATCAAATGCAAGGATTATTATTATTTACTACTTTCTTACAAACATTGTCCTTAGCCAGACAGCCCCGCTCCCCATCCCACTCAAACATAATTCAAATGCAGTATAAATTGCACCTCAAGCCCATTTCACATGGTTGTGCACTGCTGTGCACTCTGGAGCCAATACTGTACTATAGTTGTCCATCTGAGCAACACTCTCATGAGCACATTCCAGACAAGCAAAGCTGTCAAGACTATCAATGAAAGACAATCAATGAAACAGGTCGCAGAGCAAACAATTTGGGGGGTTCTGGTCAGCCGGGTGTCTGACACATTGTGAAAACAGATCAGCTTTCTTAAGAGTATCCAAACCCATCTGAGAATTCCACACATCCCACCTACACATGGAAATCCCAGAGATAGACTGTGTCAAGCGCAGCAACTAAACTACCCCCAAAGAATAAGTGTTTTACAGCGCATTAAAGCCAAGAAGAGAACAGTACAGTTTTTGAAACACATAAGCAAAATACAGAATACAGTCAATGCAATGCGCTCCCATATATACACACACACACACACACACACACACGGAGTGATCAAAAGGTCGTGATAACTATCCTATCATCTAAGCAAAATATCATCATTTCTTTCCAGACTTATTAGACGGTGTAATGGGATCACGACTTTGTGGACACCCTGGATACACGGCATCAGTCTGCCCGCACCGTCCCCTGGGCTGGTCAGGTCAGGGCGGTCAACATGGCCCATTTATGCAGTGATAACCCAATGGCCAGGGTCTGTCTGTACAGCAAGGATCCGCATCCCAACCCCACGGATGGAGACAGGGACAGGGACAGGGACAGGGACAGGGACAGGGACAGGGACAGGGAGCTAACAATCAGCACATTACATTACATTACATTACATTATATTACATTACATTACAGTGCAGTGCGCAGCCCCTCTCTCTGAGATGGCTCTGAAGCACAACATAACCACAAACACATGCACTGACTTCCCATCCAATACATTACAGCACTCACCACAACCACCTTCAAAATCCACCAACATTCTGACAATACTCTTTCTCTTTGCCCCCACACACACCCCAAAACCCCCAAACCCCCCCACACCCCAAAACCCCCAAACCCCCCCACACCCCCAACCCCCCACACCCCAACCCCCCCACACCCCAAACCCCCCACACCCCCAACCCCCCCCACACCCCAACCCCCCCACACCCCCAACCCCCCCACACCCCAAACCCCCCACACCCCAAACCCCCCAACCCCCCACACCCCCAAACCCCCCACACCCCAAACCCCCCCCACACCCCCCCACCCCCAAACCCCCCCACACCCCAAACCCCCCCACACCCCCAACCCCCCACACCCCAAACCCCCCCCACACCCCCAAACCCCCCACACCCCAAACCCCCCACACCCCCAAACCCCCCACACACCAAACCCCCCCCACACCCCCAAACCCCCAAACCCCCCACACCCCAAAACCCCCAAACCCCCCCACACCCCAAAACCCCCAAACCCCCCCACACCCCAAAACCCCCCCAAACCCCCCACACCCCCAAAACCCCACCCCCCAAAAAACAAAGACAAAAGCATACATTAAATATTGCAACACCCACCACTCCCTCCCTCTCTCCCCCTCTCTCTCCCTCTCTCCCCCCTCTCTCTCCCTCTCTCCCCCTCTCTCTCTCCCCCTCCCCTCTCCCCCTCCCTCCCTCTCCCCCTCTCCCTCTCCCCCTCTCCCCCCTCCCTCCCTCTCCCCCTCTCCCCTCTCACTGGGAGAATTCTTCAATGAATTCACTTTTATTGCAAATGTAGAGTCTGTTTAAACCACTGGTGACACTGTTTCTCCCCCATCACCACCACCAGAGAGCACACAACACGATGGGAAACTTACCGTATCTTTCCACCGAGAGAGAGAGAGAGAGAGAGAGAGAATAGCAAATGATGAGAAGAGAGTAAGTTATATATATATATATATAAAACTTGTTCTCTAACAAAAAAAACCCCACAGTTATCTCTGGGTCTCTTGGACGTTGTTTGACGATGTTTGTTCTGGTTTTGTCCCCAAGAAATAACAGCTCTTTGTCCTCCTTCGGCAGTGAAAAACTTTCTCAAGTGTCCGCGGGGGCACAGCTCTCACCAACTCTCCTCCCCCTCTCCCCCTCTCCCCCACTCCCTCTCTCTCTCTCTCTCCCACTCCCTCTCTCTCCCCCTCTCCCCACTCCCTCTCTCTCCCCCTCTCCCCCACTCTCTCTCTCTCCCCCTCTCCCCCACTCCCTCTCTCTCTCTCTCTCTCCCCCTCTCCCTCTCTCTCCCCCTCTCCCCCCCTCCCTCTCTCTCTCTCTCCCCCACTCCCTCTCTCCCCCTCCCTCACTCTCTCCCTCTCTCCCTCTCTCTCCCCCCCACTCCCTCTCTCTCTCTCTCTCCCTCCCTCACTCCCTCTCTCCCCCTCACTCTCTCTCTCCCTCTCTCTCCCCCTCCCCTCTCTCTCTCTCTCCCCCTCTCTCTCCCTCCCTCACTCTCTCCCTCTCTCTCTCTCCCCCTCCTCTCTCCCCCTCCCTCACTCTCTCTCTCCCTCTCTCCCCCTCACTCTCTCTCTCCCTCTCTCTCCCCCTCCCTCACTCTCTCTCTCCCCCTCTCTCCCCCTCTATATGTCCCTCACTCTCTCCCTCTCTCTCCCCCTCCCTCTCCCCCTCCCTCACTCTCTCTCTCCCCCTCGCTCCCCCTCCCCTCACTCTTTCTCTCCCTCTCTCTCCCCCTCCCTCACTCTCTCCCCCTCCCTCACACTCTCTCTCCCTCTCTCTCCCCCTCCCTCTCTCCCCCTTCCTCACTCTCTCTCTCCCCCTCCCTCACTCTTTCCCTCTCTCTCCCCCTCCCCTCACTCTCTCTCCCCCCCTCTCTCCCCCTCCCTCACTCTCTCCCCCTCCCTCACTCTCTCTCTCTCTCCCTCTCTCTCTCCCCCTCCCTCTCTCCCCCTTCCTCACTCTCTCCCTCTCTCTCCCCCTCCCTCACTCTCTCTCTCCCTCTCTCTCCCCCTTCCTCACTCTCTCCCTCTCTCTCCCCCTCCCTCACTCTCTCCCTCCCTCTCTCCCCCTTCCTCACTCTCTCCCTCCCTCACTCTCTCCCCCTCCCTCACTCTCTCCCCCTCCCTCACTCTCTATCCCCCTCCCTCACTCTCTCCCCCTCCCTCACTCTCTCCCTCCCTCACTCTCTCCCCCTCCCTCTCTCTCTCTCCCTCCCTCTCTCCTCCAGCGTTGTGCAGCGAATGATGTTGGTTTTAAAATGCGAGAGAGCGACAAACAGCTGTGAAAGTGCCCAACACTGTGTGTGTGAGAGCGCTCTCTCTCTCTCTCTCCTCTCTCTCTCTCTGCTGCAGCCTCTCCGGGGCTGTCACACCAGTGATCTGCTCTCTTAACTCTCACTCTCTCTGCAATCTCTCCCCCCCCCCCCCTCTCCCCCCCCACACACCCTGACTTGATGCTTAATTTTTCTATCTATTTATAAACACACACAACACACACACACTCCAGATCCGCTGTTAGATGACGCCTGACTGGGGGGAGGAGGGAGGGAGAGAGAGAGAGAGAGAGAGATGGGGGGAGAATACATCAATAATGCAACCAAAAGCTATCAAAATGAAATGAAATGAGAGCTGCAGACAGACTTGCACACTGCCTCCTGCAGGACAGCAGAGACTCTCTCCCCCCCCCCCCCCCCACCCCCACAACACACACACACACACACACAGACACACGCGGTCCGTCAGTCTCACCCGAGCTGCAAGTCTTCAAAGCGCAGACTTCTGAGATCAAGGTGGAGAACATATTTGACCTTTACCGCCAGCGTCTATTCATGAGCACCACAAAACTGCTGTGTCCTACAGCAAAGTGGTTAGCGCAAGCGAGAGGACCTGGTTTGGATTCCCGGGCGGGGCGAAACTTTAGGCGAGTTTCTTTGCACCCCCCCCGCCTCTGTTTACCCGGCAGTAAGCAGGAACCCAGTTGTTAGTCGATTGGCGGATCGCTTTCCGGGGGTAACAATCACTCAAAATAAATTGTCACTCGATCCACGGCTGTTTGTGGGGACGTTGCTGTGCGTAATTGGCTGCCGCGTTTCGCCCACAAAATACAGTCAATTCACTTGACAATATATTCTGTCAAACGCTTTGAGACGTCTCAACAATGTGAAAAGATGCTTTTTCAAATGCAAAGATTATTATTATATGTTCCCCCATATAGCTGACGTACTCAGGATCCTTGTACATGCATTGTATTTCACGGCCTCTTACATAGCTTTAGCAACTTTTTTCTTGCTTTCTGCTTTCCCACTAGGTGCATTTCCCAATTTATCTTCCCTCATTGCATGAAATCATTAGTCCCGAGAGAGCGAGTGCATTTACTTTATTATACCTCACTCCAGCCTGTGCCACAGGGTCACAGCTAATGGTATTATTACCCCTGGTTTCCATTTACTCCAACGTCCACATTTCCATTACATGTGGCCAGGTCTGGGTGGTGCCCGACACTTTCCATCGCATATATATTAACACCGGCACACTGTCCTGCATGAAATCTAAATCAGCCTCCAAAAGGTGTTAGCACTCAGTTGGTAGCACTTTCACCTCTGAGACAGTAGATCATGTGTTCGAGTCCCATGTTGAGCTCAGTCTAGGCCAGTGGCCCCCAGGTTGGACACGGCCCCTGAACATTTGCACGAGTCAGGGTAAGCCCGTGTTCAATTGCGAGTGTGTTTTCGGTTTTTATGGCATCAAGAAATATTCCACCAAGAAAATTCATTTTGTTGGCCACCCATAAAGTTTGGCCACCACTGGTCTAGGCTAACACTCCAACACATTGATGGGGGTGACCTGCATTGTTGGAAGAGTCGTCCTTCAGATGGGACTTTAAACCTAAGTTTTGTCTGCCTGTTCAGGTGGGTGTTAAAGATTCCATAGCACTATTTGATAAGAGAAGTTAGTTTCTTTCTCCCAGTGTCCTGGTTAACAATCTCCCAGATACAATTGGTTATTCACTTCATTATTATTTATTATAGAATCATAGAATTATACAACGCAGAAGGAGGCCATTCGGCCCATCGTGTCTGTGCCGGCTCCTTGAAAAGAGCTTCCATTTCAACCCCACTCCCCCGATCTCTCCCCATAGCCCTGCAAACTTGTCCTCCCCAAATAATTATTTGCTTCTCTCTTAAAAGTTGTTATCGAATTGGCTTCCACCAGCCTTTCAGGCAATGCATTCCAGATCCCAACAACTCGCTGTGTAAAAAAATTTCTCCTCCCCTCCCCTCTGTTTCTTTTAACAACTATTTTAAATCGGTGCCCTCGGGTTACCGACCCACCCGCCAGTGGGAATAGTGTCTCCTTGTTCACCCTATTGAATCCCCTCATAATTTTGAAAACTTCTATTAAGTCTCCTATTAACCTTCTCTGATCCCAGGAGAATAATCCGAGCTTCTCCAGCCTCTCCTGATAACTGAAGCCCCTCATTCCTGGTACCATTCTGGTCAATCTCCTTTGCACCCTCTCCAATGCCTTGACATCCTTCCTAAAGTGTGGAGCCCAGAACTGAACCCAGTCTCTCGCTGAGGCCTAACCAGTGTTTATATAAAGGTTCATCAGAACTTCCTGACTTGTGTATTCTATGCCCCTATTTATAAAGCCTGGTATCCCGGATGCTTTTTAACAACTTTATCTCCCTGTCCGGCCACCTTCAAAGATTTACGTATATGAAACCCCAGGTCTCTGTGTTCCTTCACCCCCTTTAAGATTGTACCATCAGCGTATATTGTCTCTCCTCATTCTTCCTTCCAAAATGCACCATTTCACATTTCCCCACATTAAACTTCATCTGCCCCGTGTCTGCCCATGTTACCCGTCTGTCTGTGTCCTCTTGCAGTCTGTTACTATCCTCCTCACTGGTTACTACTTTTCCAGCTTAGTATCATCTGCAAACTTGGAAATTGTCCTCCCTATACCCAAGTCCAGGTCATTTATATACATCAAAAACAGCAGTGGTCCCAATATCGACCCCTGGGGGACACCACTGCACACTGCCCTCCAGTCAGAAAAACAACC